CAGTTTTGTTTCGCTTCTTGTAATACAAGAATCATTTTAGGTTATTTTTTAAATAAATCGGTCATTTTTTTAAACATGTGTTGTATGTGAAATTTTATTTTACTTTATGGAACAAACGAGGACCATTTATGGGCAATTTTTTCTTTAATAAACAACCACCAATTTTGATCAATTAAGAAATAATGCACAAATGTTGTTTATAGTGTTTTTCATTTAATTATATAAATTTTCCTTTTTTGTATAAATCTTATCAATATACTATTCTTTTTATGTAATTAATTCATTATATAATTCAACTAAATTGTTTTTTATTCATAATAATGACAACATGAATTGTGACTCTAATTAGTGAACCAGGTATACCATATGAAGATTTCACTTTGAAAGTTTGTGTCATCAACTTATGAACCCTTATATTGGTCTATAACAAAGACAATTTTTTTTCCTATTGAATTGATTTTCTTTATATTAATTCTATTTTTTTCCCTTTATTCAAATTTATATTGCATTGCAAAAAAAATAGAATTTTATAAAATATATACAAATACAAAATGTTGATCGAATATTCAAAACATGTGTTGTTGTAGTTTGAATTAATTATTATATAATTATATACTTATAAACAAATCATCTATCTTTATAAAGTAATAAAAAATTTCTTATCATCGGTGAATAATTACCTTATAATTTATTTATATTTTTTTTCTTTCTCATCCGTGGTGTTCACAGGTTATAACCTAGTAAATAAATAAAATTGGCTTAAGACGTTAAACTCTTTTTTTTAACTACCACATTATTCATTTATGAACAATGAATATCACAGTTTGGCTTACTATATTACACTATTTTTCCACTCATGTCTTAATCATTTATAAATATTAGGTTTTATGTTGATACAGATACAATAGTTTGAGTGGACAAAATATACAAATAGAAATAATGGAAGAATGTTATGGAAAAAGATAGTCGAGTGATACAATTACGTTTTATTCAATTATGATTATAATTGTATTGGATTCGGTCTTAGCATATTTATTTATGATTATAGTGTTAGTATATTCATTTATGACTTGTGTAGTATATTTGTATGAATTTGGTCCCTAGTATATTCATTTTTGAACAAATTAATATAACTTTATTCACGTGTGTGTGTATATATATATATATATATATATATATATATATATATATATATATATATATATATATATATATATATATATATATGAATTTTTCATATTATAGTAAAACACTAATTTCATAAAATTATAAAATCATATTATGTTTTTATAATCATATATGAGTGAAATCACACATAAATCAAATGGTAGAAGGAAAACGTGTTGAGGTTTCTATTTTGAAAGAAAAATAATAATAAAATTATTTTTACAATCTTTTTAAAAAAAAGAAAAAAAATCAATTATTTTTTGGTAACAACATCCATAGATTTCAGAAAGTATAATTTAATTTTATATAACTGATGTACATGTTAATGTCTAGTGATATTCAATATGCCCAAAAACTTGTACATGACATGTTATATCATATAATATGACATAATAACTAGTAATAGCCTCTAGATGAAAGATCTTGTATGTTCAAGAATCATATTAAAATTATATTGCTAATTAACATATGATACTAATGGGTCAAACTAACAACTTGATACAATCGATTATTTATTAGAAATCGATTTTAATAAACATTCAATAAACTCTTATAATTAAATTCGAAATTATTTATTTCTAGGAAATAATATATTTTCATTAGCAAGTAAGATTACATAATTCATATGGTATGAAATAATAAGTCATGCTCAACATTTTGGACTAGATACATTCTTTTGTCTTTTACCAAAAAGGTAAAGTTTATATATTATAAACTTGGTTTATAAAATATAAATCTCATGGTTTTATTTTATATCTTAAAATCCGAAAATTGAGAGAAAGAAAGAAGGTATGGACTTTTGATTAGTTTAATAAAAAATGAAGGGTTTCTTTCACACGGGGGCACCATGTCTTAGGGGCATGGGTTGTCTTAAACGCTTAAGACCATTTGTGTTAATATATACAATTTATGAGGCTTACATTTGGATTGCTTCTCTTACCACTCAAAAGCTTAACATGTATAGGAGTATGCATTCTCTCACAGTTTTGGTTCATACATGAAGATTACTTGTTCTTATACTCTTTTGAAGTTCATATTGGTTATAAACTCCAAGCTTAAGATATTAAGAGTTTTCTTACAAGGCTAGCATCTTAAATCAAGTTGAAAGCTTGTTGGTGTCTCTAAAATTTATCATTCTTCATCAACTTTCAAGCCTACCAAAATGATCCAAAGAACTACAAAGGTTGTGGTTTATTTATCTTGTTTTTTGGTTTGTTTGTTTTCTTTCCAAACTTTGCAAGATGATCCTTGCTGGGTTATAAACCTGTTTTATGTTATTCAAATCATCAAGTCTTTTGTTGCAAAATATTATGTTTTTGAACTAGTTTTGAATAAAAACCCCGTTGCAAAATATTATGTTTTTGAACTAGTTTTGAATAAAAACCCAACACTAGAAACATTATTTTCTTTAAATAATAAATTTCCCTAACTAAATAAACGACTTGATTATATTTATTAATAATAAATATTAAATATGTGCCAATTTGCTAAAAGTGTGACTCTCTATGATCATATATTATTGACAAACATCATTCTAAAATGATTGTTGAGCATATAGATCTAACACGAGTTTCCTACATGAGGAATGATAAAAATAAAAGAGAAAATTTTATATATATCCTTATTAAACGACTAAATATCGTATTTGTCCGACCTAAACTCTAAATATCATATTTACCGTTATTAATGTTTTAAAATATCAAATTTGTCCAAATATAATTTTTTTTTAAAAATAATTTTTACTATTTAATAATCCTTTTCTGTAATTTTACATTATTATTATTGTCAAAGACACTGTATGGACAATAATGCCCTTACCAGTTAAACGATACTCCTGCCCTGCCGCACATTTTCTCTTGCAAACAACCATTCATAATAGTTAATTGTAATTCCTCCATATTCCTATTTACATTCTCTCCATCATAGTTCATGCTTTTGCTCATTTTTTACTAAATGTTTACTAAGCTAATAAGCATCAGGTAATTATGATTACTATTATTTATGTTTGTGTGTGATCATAAACCCCATGTTGCAAGACTGTATATCTAAATTGAAAATATTAAAACTATTTGGTAATGCTTTTGAAAATATTAATCTTTACCAAGCTAATAAGCATTAGGTAAACATAATTCCTAATATTAACAAATAGTCAGGTTTGTTTGCTTATATCAACTCAAGTTGTCCAGAACTAACAAGACACTTCACTGTCTCTTGGGTTGCCTCACTTTAGTTCCTCCGCCACTGCTAAAAAATGCATGTAACATTAGTAACAAACTCATTAGTTTAAAATGAAAAGTCAATATGCACAATGAAGTCTAATGATTTCGAATTTATAACTTGTTCAACATATATAAATTCCAATTATTGTCAACAAACAGAGCTTGAACCATAGAATCAAGCATGTTTTGAATGCATGCTCCCTGTAGCAAATTACTTTAATCTAGCTACCAATATTGGCAATACTATGAAATTGAAATTAAGCTTGTGATTTGGAGTCTTGGCCTAAACAAAGGGCATACATTGAAAGGGAATTGTGAAATTAATACATAGGTATCAACAATTCGAGATTCTTTATGCATAAGTGTTGATTTCGTTGCCAAAAAGAATGAGATATAACGAAGGGGAACATTACCTTAAGCTTATTAATGATTGCAAGAAGAAAATGGCGAGATGCAAGAAGGAAGATGGTTAGATGGCGATAGGTGAACAATCATGAGAATGGTGGCTTTAGGAAGAAGATGATGGTTGATAAAACCTAGTGTAAAAGATCCTATGATTTAGATTGGAAGGGTATTATGGACCATTTACTTTTTTTTTTCTTTTTCTAGATTTAGTGGTTTAAAATTATAAAAAATGACTATTAAATAATAAAAAATATAAAAAAAACTGATTTGGGTAAATTTGATATTTTAAAATATTAAGAAGGACAAATATGATATTTATAGTTTAGGGGTAAATACGATATTTAGACGTTTGATAAGGGTATATACGAAAATGTCCCAAAATAAAAGTTGTCACAGGAAACGCCATGCCATTTGTCGTTTTGTTGAATCCATTTGAGGTGATATCCAATTCCATTTAGCATTGTAAGTTCTCCACCCATGTTATGTTCGACTACTACAATACTTATTTCGTGTATAGATCAACCAATTGCATCACCTATTCAAAAACCTATTTATTATATTACAAATAGGCGTCCGATTAAAATATGTTTGGAACTTTCATCGTTGAAATTTCTCCTTCATTCACCCAATTGTGATTAAGGACTATCTCAATCTATTTGGAAGTTTGCATTTGTATAACAGATTACACACAACTTTCTTTCAAATACTCCGTAGATCAGAAATATTTCTTTAGTTATTCGTAAATACTTTAGAATGTTCCTATCAGTCAAGAAGAAGAGGTTTTATGCGTACATGTTATGAAAATGGATATAAGGATAAGGGGACCCTCTAATTTGCTATGTTAACCGGTTATGAAAGCAAAACCAATTAAAAGCTATAATGAAAAATATTGACAAATGTAAAACATTAATGGACATTAAAAAAACTTAAAGTAAATTTTACCAAAAAAAATTACAAATTTAAAGGATTTTATGACATTTTTCCTAATAAATAAAAAAAGTAAGATTCACTTGACATCTAATCATGTTATTCATGGACCAAAATCATCCAACAACAAAATAATGACTAAATTGCAAGGCAAAGTTTTTTAGGACGAAATCCAAAAACTAATTAAACTTATGGACCAAAAATGTTATTTTCTCCTATTATTAGTTCATTTTCAATTTCACGAGATTCTTCCTAAATTTGTTTACCAAATTTGGGCAATATTGTTTTGGCGGGAAAACCCAAATGATATACGAAAAGCACCAAAAACGCTAGCGTGAAAAGGATAATCAATCAAATTCTCTGTTGGCTTTTTTGCGATCATGAAGAAAGAAGACGCTCAACTGAGCACAGCGAAGCGAGCATACAGGAACGCATCCGAAGAAGGGAATCGACAGGAAGAGGCAAGATGGGCAAATGTAATCGGAGATATTTTCAAGAACAGAGGAGAGTACGTCGAGGCTTTGCGTTGGTTTCGACTCGATTACGAGGTTTCAATCAAGTATCTGCCGGAGAAACAGTTGCTCCCCACATGTCAAGCTCTTGGTGAAGTCTATCTTCGTCTTCAGCATTTCAAAGATGCCCTAATTTACCAGGTGCTTCACATAATCTACAACTTGATTTTAATTTCCTCATGTATTATTCATTTTGTCCATATTTTTAGTATTCTAGTTTCCATTTGCAAGTTTATGGAATCAATTAACTGTTTTGGGTCTGAATTTCATGTTTAGCTGGATTATTGAATAGATCACAATCGCGTGGGACCAAAACTACGATTAACCCTAGTTGTAAATTAACACTTCCTCATTTTCATGACTTTGTATCCCATGGGTGTTCTGTTGACAGAAAAAACATTTGGAGCTTGCAAAGGATTCGAATGACGTGATTGAGCAACAACGAGCAACCACCCAACTTGGTCGAACATACTATGAAATGTTCTTAAAATCTGATAGTGATCATAGCTCCCTCCGAAATGCCAAAAAGTATTTCATTTCTGCCATGAAACTTGCTCAAACTCTCAAGGAGAATCCACATTCCAACAAGTATACCTTTCTAAAAGAATACATTGATGCCCACAATAACATAGGTATGGTTGAAATGGATCTTGATAACTTGGAAGAAGCAGAAAAGATTCTCACGAAGGGATTACAGATTTGTGATGAAGAAGAGGTGGTTGAGAATGATGATGGACGCACAAGGCTCCATCACAACCTTGGTAATGTTTACATGGAATTGAGGAAATGGGACAAAGCTAGAAAGCACATTGAGAAGGATATTGTGATTTGTAAGAATATTGGTCATTGTCAAGGGGAAGCAAAGGGATATATAAACCTTGGTGAATTACATTACAGGGTACAGAAATATGAAGAAGCAACTCTTTGTTATCAAAAGGCAATGAAGTTAGCAAAATCTATGGATGATGAACATGCTTTGGCTAATCAAGTTGACCAGAATATAGAAATAGTAAAAGAAGCAACAAAGGTAATGGAGGATTTAAAAACTGAAGAACAGAATCTCAAGAAGTTGACAAGAAACATGGTGTTAGCTAGAGGCACATCAGGTGAAAGGAAGTGTTTGTTACAACAAAATGCATCTCTTGATTGCCTTATTGAGAAATCAAGCATGATTTTTGCATGGAAAAAGGTATGAAATCACTAACTTGTTAGAAAGTTTAATCTTTTTTTAATTCTTTGACAACAAGATTCATGTTCTTGATTTTGGGTTTTTGTGATAGCATTGTGAGTTTGCCAAAAAGAAGAAAAAAGTAGCAAATGAACTCTGTGACAAAGAGAAGTTAGGTGATTCCTATCTAGTTATTGGAGAGTCTTATCAAAAGCTGAGGAACTTCAGTAAAGCCCAAAAATGGTACTCTAAAAGTTGGGAAACATACAAGTCAATTGGCAACATGGAGGTATATATGATCAACTTATTCTATGAATCTGATTTACTATAATATAGAAAGTATCAAAGAGTTTATTTGTGTATTATAGGATTCTACTCTTGATAATTTCTATGACATTGTAGTTTTGATTTTTTCTGGATTCTTATTTAGAGCTGATTGTTTTTTCAGGGACAAGCATTAGCAAAGATTAATCTTGGTGATGTTTTGGACTCAGTTGGAAAATGGGCAAATGCTTTGGATGCATTTAGTGAAGGATACAGGCAAATGCTTCCATTCTTATTGTTATCTGTTATTATTCACTGATATTAATGTTGATAAACTACATGGCTCTTGATAATTCTAAATAAAAAGAATTCCATATTCAACATATGTTAAACATTTCATTAAAACAAGAGCAAATTAAACAATACAAAAAGATGATATAAAAAACTATTCTTCTTTCTTGCAGCATTGCTCTTCAAGCTAACCTAATTTCTGTCCAGCTGTCTGCACTTGAGAACATGCATTATAGTTACATGATCAGATTTGATAATGCTGAAGAGGCCAGGTAATTATAGTTAAATTTTTTTGTTTTAAAACATACAAACCTTATTTTAATTAGGTCATTTTAATAATATATAATTTCCATACTTGATTAATTATTTAAGTCATGTTGTCAGAAATAAATCTGTAGAATGTTTTCTGATATGATATATTGCAAAACTCAACAACTATCTTCTTCATTCTTTCATGTATTTCAACTTGAACAACTCCATGTATTAAATTTCATTAATTTCATCAAAAAATCTGAGCTATTTGCTCCATTGTAGGAGGCTGCAGTTACAAATAGACGAATTAAAGAACTCAAACAGTGATCTTGAACCATTAAACATTCCAAAAGACTGTTGCTCTGAGACTGATACAGAGGGAGATGATGATGATGATATATCATTAATGAAGTCTGATTCTGATATGAACTTTTCACCAAAATTAAACACATCAAAATCATATGGAATTGAGGATTTATCAGATGATGAGGTCCCTTTGGTTTCTTTTCTTCATCAATCTAAATCAAAAGCTTCCAAAGTAACAAAACCTTCTGCTTCTACCAAATCAAAGTCAACCTGTAGTCAAACAGTTAACAGAAAACGGGGTCGATTAGTTCTTTCTGATGATGAAGATGAAAATAAGGAAGTGGGGTGTTCTCAAAGAAGAGTTCATGAGTATCCAGAAGAACATGTTGCCACATCTAATGAATGTGAGTTACTATTTGTATATTATAGCATCCTAATTTTATTTAATTCAGTTTTCTACTTAAATAATCTAATTGTACTTTCAGTTGCACACTTATTAAGACATTATACTTTGGAAAATCTACTGAGTTTTGGAAGTGAATGTTTATAAGTATTTTGTTATAATTGGGAAGATATTTTGAAGGGCAATGTTGTAAATTGTAATAGGAAGAAACAAATCAACAAAAGTATATTGCTATTCCTTGCATTTAACTCTTTTTAGTATATTAAGAGTAAGACACCCTGCTTTTCATCTTATATTCTTGTTACATTATTATATGTTTAATTGTTTTCTTATCAAGGCATTGTATTTATAAAAAAGCTACTCGATTATATTATTGTACTTGAATTTTTCTAATCAAGACATTATTTTATGAAAATCTATCTTTATATTTCACTTGAAATTTAGTGTGAAAAAACTGATTTTGTTTGATCAATTTCAGTCAAGAGTGGGCAGGATCTAAGTAGTTATCATGTTCATGAATATCAGGTAAAAATTCATTGATCAAAAGTCAAAAGTCAAAAGTCAAAACTATGTTTCTATTTCTTTGTTGACAAGTGTTTTTGTTTGATTTTTGTCAGGATATGTCACCAGTTGCTTCAAAGTGTGCAATTAGTGTAAATCTTGAAGAAAGCACTTCTTCCCATAAAGGAAAAAGTTCAAAAGTAGCTACACAAACTTTCATATCCTCAAAGGGAAATGAATCTTTCAATGATTCCCATTTTGGTGTTAATGGTGTCAGATGTGATTCTGGAGTTTCTGAAAATATCTGCCAAAAAAATGCTCCTTCTGGCCCATTTTTTGATGCTTGTGATGATCATAATTGTGTGAGTGTATATGATATTTTCTCATACTCATTTTCATATTTCATTATTTCTAGTACTAAATACTAAATACTCATATTGACTTTTTAACTTATTGACTTCTTGAAAAGTCAATAAAGCTAAAACAAGTGTTTGGGTATAGAAAAAAACAACTGTTTGTTTAGTCTTTGAAAAGGAGATTTCAAAAGTCACAATTTCTTACTTCTTGAAACAACTTATGACTTATTAGGTTTACAAAGTAGATATAAAAAGACAAAATTAAGCCAAACACTTTTTAACTTATTGACTTTTGCAACTATAAAAGCTAAATCCAAACACTTTTTTAAAAACTCCTTTTCCCACCTTCATAAGTCAATAAAGTCCTTTTTAACTTCAAAATGAAATCCCAAACACCCTCTAAATATAATAGAAATAGAATATCTTCTTTTTGACTTAATGAGCTAAATGGGTTAAACAAAAAATCTTTCTTAGCGTGAAAACTGCTTGTTGGAATGTAAGGGTAAAATGGTCATTTACTCAATATTCTAATGCTTGATTTTTTTTTTTTTTTTCCATTTTTTGTTTGTAGAAACATATGATATTCAAAGTTGAGGATGATTTTGTACACATAGAATCAAGCTCATGTAAGCTAAGCATTGAAAATATGAAGGTTGAAGTCGCATGTTTATACTTTTTAAAACTCATAAAGGAGAATAGGTCTAAAGGTACACATTCTCATTTGTTCTTTAAAATATAAATTCCTTTTTTCATTCTTTATATAAAAAAAATGTCAATATTAATCTATATTATATCATTGTAGGGCTTTTGCCAATGATTAAACATCTCAAATGTGGGGGAGAAGTTTTAGAATCTTTGGATTCATTGAATATTCCAAAGGATTACATGTCTGGGAAATGCTGGATTGAAGCCTCTATTGATCGTATGTTTTCTTGATTTAAATCTTTTAACTATTTACGAATTTGCCCTCATCTAATTTCCTCTTCCATTTCCCCAATTATGCCTTCATGTTCTCAATACTTTCTTTTATATACAACACTTAATGAGACTTTCCCATTAAGTCCTAACTATTTACAAATTTGCCCTTTTTTGTAGGTTGGGTACCTAAGCGCTTGGTCAAACTTTATGTTGACTGTTGTAGTGATATATCTGAACCTCCTAATCTGAAATTACTTAAGAAGCTGTATAATTTAGAGGTAAAAGGTTGATGTTTTTTTTATTACATTAAAAAATGTTGGGAGTTTTTATAGAAAAATAAAAAAAGTTTTATAATTTGTAACAAAGATGTTGAATTTCAGGTATCAGAGGATGAGATTGTTGTCTCTGATTGTGAATTGCAAGATATATCAGCAGCTCCATTGCTAAATGCCTTAAATTCACATAAGACAATTGCACTACTAAATCTTTCCCACAATTTGTTAGGTAATAATACTTTTTATTTATTTACTATTTTAATTTATAAATTATGCTTGAAAAATAATTTTTTGAGTAAATTACTGAAATCGTCCCTGTGGTTTGGTCAAAATTGCACGTTTGGTCCCTAACATTTTTTTTGCACTCGGATCGTCCCTGTGGTTTGATTTTGTTGCGTTTTTCGTCCCCATGGTTTGGTAAAAAATGCATGTTTGGTCCCTAACTTTATGTATGTAAGGGACGAAAAATGCAACAAAATCAAACCACAGGGACGAAAAACGCAACAAAATCAAACCACAGGGGCGATCCGAGTGCAAAAAAAATGTTAGGGACCAAACGTGCAATTTTGACCAAACCACAGGGATGATTTCAGTAATTTACTCTAATTTTTTATGTTTGTAATGTTCTTATCTCTAGTTAAATGCAAGGAATAGCAATATATTTTCATTGATTTGTTTGTATTGCATCATACTTTTTTTTTTTTTTTTCCTATTACATCATTGTACTCTATGAGATCAATCTAATTACAGAAATGCCATCCAAACGATAGGATTAATCTCATAAAAGGCCTTATATTTTGTGTTTTTTCCGAATTAAACCTGATCTTTATTTTTTTCATGAAAAAGAACTTGTATTTTTTCTGAAAAAAAACCTTCAACCTTCTAAATGTTTCCAAATAGGGTTAATCTCAAAAAAGACCTTGTATTTTGTGTTTTTTCAGGATTAAACCTCAACTTTATTTTTTTTCCTGAAAAAGACCTTGCATTTTTTTTTTTTTCATTTTTTCCCATCCGGCCCTTTTAGTCATTTTTTTTTTCCAAAAAAATTGTAAAACGTGAGTGTTTTTTCAAGAAAAACTAAAAAAGTGGAGGGTTTATTTGAAAGCGTTTAGAAGGCTGAGGGTTATTTTTTTGGGAAAAAAAATACAAAGTTGAGTGCTTTTTTGGAAAAAATGAAAAAATACAAGGTCTTTTTCAGGCAAAAATTAAATTTGAGGTTTAATCCGGAAAAAATATTAGGTCTTTTTTGAGATTAACCCTTCCAAATAATTCCTCAACTTTTTTTTTTTTTTGTTTTCCCTGAAAAACCCTCACAGTTTACAACTTTTTTTGGAGAAAAATGACTAAAAGGGTCGGACTGAAAAAAAATGAAAAAATGCAAGGTCTTCTTCATGAAAATAAAATAAAGCTGAGGTTTAATCCGGAAAAAAAACCACAAAATAAAAGTTCTCTTATGAGATTAACCCTAAATGATAATGTCCTAATTAAAAAAAAAACAAAATAACAATGAATTTTCAAAGTAGAATACCTTGATAAGAAAAAAACTATAAGTACAATGCTTTAATAGAAAGAAATGAAAGTAGAATGCTGGAATACACAAATAAATGAAAAATATATTGCTATTTCTTTTGTATTTATCACTTCATAGTACTACAAATTTCTTTTTATACATTTTTTTTTTAAAAAAAAGAAAAAATATATTTTCAGGAAATGAAAGTATGGAGAAACTAAAACAAGTATTTATGTCATCAAGTCAAAAGTATGGTGGTTTGGTTTTGGATTTACACTGCAATCGCTTTGGTCCAACTGCCCTATTCCAGGTTTATTCATCCCTTTTAATTTTAATTTTAATTTTTTTAATGAATAATTAGAGTATTAAATGTGATGACAAAAATAATAATCTAACTTTTAGGAGGATATAAGCATGTTAATACATTTGGCTATGTTTTTAGATCCTACCCTTTTAACCCATTAGAGGTCAAATGTTTATGTGACCCAAATTTTGGTAAATGAGACAAAAATGCCCCTGTAATAGTAAAAGCTGATTTATTTTATAAAACTTACAGATTTGTGAATGCCCTGTGCTATTGTCACGTTTGGAAGTGCTTAATATATCTGGGAATCGATTAACTGATGGATGTGCTTCTTACCTTTCTACAATCTTACAAAATTGCAAAGGTGAGATACTTATTTTAATATTTATTAAAATTATCATTTTCACAGCATGATAAATATCATTAAATGAAAATCGAATTTTTTTTCATGGTATTCGAGCTTTTATTCAACTTTATTTTTTGCCTGAAAAAGACCTTGTATTTTTTTCAGAAAAAAAAAACCCCTCAACTTTGTCCTTTTTTTTCCCGAAAAAACCCTCAACTTTCTAACTGCTTCCAAATAATCCCTCAAGTTTTTTAGTTTTTTTAGGAAAAATCCTCACATTTTACAAATTTTTTTGGAAGAAAATGACTAAAAGGCCAGATCGAAAAAAGTGAAAAAATACAAGGACTTTTTCAGACAAAAAATAAATTTGAGGAAAAAACACAAAATATAAGGTCTTTTATGAGAATAACCTTTTTTTTTTTTGGAAAAAATGACTAAAAGGGCCAGATCGGAAAAGTCAAAAAGTTTTTCGAACAAAAAATAAATTTGAGGTTTATTTTGGAAAAAACACAAAATATAAGGTTTTTTACGAGATTAACCCAAAAATCTATCCAATTATAGCATACTACTTATTTTATTATTATTATTATTAGGAAATTATATTTTGAAAAATGTATCCAATCATAATAAACAAATCAATTAAAGCATGCTGTTATTTCCATCACTTATGTAACATAATCTTTTTACTTTTCAGCTCTTTACAGCTTAAATATACAGCGATGTTCTATCACATCAAGAACAATTCAAAAAGTCACTGATTCCCTTCATTCCAGTTTCATTCTTTCAGAATTATTCATAGGTACTTGAATTTTAAATTCATTGATAAATAATTCATTTCATGTTTATGTTCATATATCCAACTTTCTACCATTGAATAACAGGCTACAACACCTCCATATCTGGAAATGCCATACTAAATCTATTGGACAAACTCTCCACTCTTAACAGGTGGGCCCTCTTTCTTTTCTTTTTTCCATCAACTGTTTTTTCAGATAAATTTATTTATTTATTTATTTATTTTACAGTTTCTCTCAGCTAAATTTAAATGGCATAAAGCTAAACAAGAACGCAGTTGATAGCCTCTGTAAGCTTGTTAAAACATCAGGCTTGTCTGATTTGATGATTGGAGATACAAGTATTGGATCTGTAAGCCATCTTTTTTTTTTTTTTTTTTTTTTAAATATCATCATACTTTCTTTCTTATTAACATATTATATATTTGATTGGTGAAGGAGAGAGCTATAGAGTTGATGGATTCATGGAATAACGAGAATCGGGAATTAATAAAGCTTGATTTATCATGTTGTTTGCTGACATCAGATTACGTCATCAAACTCCAAACCAATCCTTCTTGGATCAATGGTGTTCTTGAGTTAAATCTCGCACATAATCCTCTCATGCAAGAGGTTAGATTTCACTAAACAACTTTATAATCTTATTACATTATACTTCTTATAATTGAAAAAAAAAAACATATCTATTTTTTTTAAGATTCTTTACATAAATAACAAATGTAGGGTGCAACTGCTTTAGCATCAGTACTCAAGAACCCCAATTGTTGCTTAAAAGCACTTAATTTAACCAAATGTCAACTCAGCCTTGTTGGAATACTCACTATTCTTCAAGCTTTATCCCACAACACATCCTCCATAGAGGAAATCAACTTATCCGAAAATGCCACTCCACACGAGTTACAAGATCCCGATTCCACGGTCAAACCGGACCACGAAAAAGTCAACAAAAGTCAACACGAGCTCTTCTCGGTCAACGCCGATTTCACCGATCTTGAAGTCGCAGATAGCGAAGACGAAATAGACGATCCAAAAGTCAAAGTCAACACGAGTTCCTCACGGTCAGTGCCGTCGAGTCATGATGGGAGTTGCGTGAGTTTGTGTGAAAATGATCTGTTGAAGTCAAAGTCAAAGTCAATGTTTGTTCAAGCGCTTGCGTATGCGGTTTCTATGGCGAAAGGGGTTCGGGTGCTTGATCTAAGTGGGAATGGGTTGGAGGAAGTGGGAGATATGTTGTATGGTGGTTGGTCAACGGATTCGAGGGGGGGTTTGACTAAAAAGCATGTTGAGGGAAGTATACTTCATTTCTCGGTTGATCCGTATCAATGTTGCAACAATGAATCATGTTGCAAAAGGTTTTGATTATTTAGATGTTTTTTTTATATATAATTAAATGTGTGAAATTAGTTTATATGATTGTTTATATAACAATGCTTTATGTTTTTCTAAGCTTATGCGTTTCAAGTTCCTTTTTAAAGGAAATAAGTATAAAGAGAAAAAATAAAACCGTGTTGTATAAGTTGGTAAAAGGTGATTTTTTTTTTCTGTTTTTTGGTATAAATTGATATATTTTATGTTTTAAAATGAATTGTGATCGTGTGTTTAATCTAAAATCCGTTTTATAATATAAATTCATAAAGAAAAGATAAAACATCATTTACCACATTGTTGTACAGATGTAATATTTATAATTTTTCAGAATAAAGAGGATTGATCTATATCTTGAAATATATTTATTTGAAACAAACATTTTCGTCTTATCTTTTAAATATTAAATCTCAATAGACTTTTGAACTAATAATACTTAATTTGTTAATTAAAATATGATATTAATTTTTAGAAGAGATCAACTAAAATAATAATAATTTATTTAAACTTGAAGATGATAACAATTTTTTTTTTTTAATAAAATAACAAACAAGTCTAGAATAGGGCGTTGCAAATAGAAAAAAATAAGTACAATTCGAACGGACATTCTGTTTTTAGAAAAAAAACTAGATATTTAAAAGACCACAAATATATAGTGGTTCATTCTTAAGTTTAATTATTATATTTTTGTTAAATACCCCGTACTTAAAACTCTTGAACTTGAAACTATGATTTGAATTTTTGGAACAAATTTGGCAACAATAATTTCTAAAAAGTTTAATGTTTTGAAAAGATAATGCTATTTGAACTTATTTTTTTTAAGTGAGTATAGGGGTGTTTCACTTTTCTACTTAGAAATGTAAAAAAATGGGTTTTCTTCCAATGATAATGCTTGTGTTGTGAAAAACCCACTTTGCTCTAGTACCAACTGGTGTTGATGATCAAACTCAAACAATAAGTTAGTTTAGTGTAGAATTTAAATGACAAAATATATAAAAAAACAATAAATATGAACAAAAAAAATAACAATATGAATAAGAACATTGTTGTATTATGATAACTTGAGGAAGAACAATTTAGACAATAGAAAAAAACCTATTCCCTAAGAAGCTATTTATATGAGAACATTCTAGGGCATCTGAGGGACAAGTATTCCCTAAAATGCTATTTATATGATAACATTCTATGTTTAAAACTAGTTTTTATAGAATTTACTTATTGAAACTCAATAAGAGTTGTTTTATTAGAGAGCAAGTGTTGATCTTCAAGTGTAGGGGTTGAAATTTCACAATGGGAAGATCTAAAATAAGTTGTTCGAGAGGTGAGGTTGTATAATAATCAACTAGATATGTGTTATTGAGATCTTAATATGCAAGGTTTTTATTATGTTTTTATAGCGAGAAAGTACATCAAATCTCAAATCTTTGAAGTTCGAAAATAATTCTACATATTGGAATTAAAATTAAACATCATGAGTTAGCATGTGCTCTTGGATCGAATTCCTACTACACTCAATTTGGAATAAAAAATAATGATGTACAATACAAGTATATAATCCATTGATTATTACTTTTAATGTTTGTGATGTTGTTTCTTGATTTTGTATAAAGTAGCGATTTGATGAAATATGACGAATCTTGTTTCCACTTCCACCTCATATACAATTCATTGTGCGGATGTTGCAAGTCTCGATAAGAATCAAAAAGTCCGCTTTAATAATTTACCGGCCTTAAGTTATATCCTTATATGTATTATAATAATTACTTTGGTTTTTCCGTGAACAAAAGCCTAATAAAGATAGATTTTTTAAAGACAGTTATGTGTTGCTTGTTAAAAGAAATCAACAAACAAAAAGGCCATAAATCAAAACTTAACATAGATTAAATATAGCATAATGTACAGGCTGCTTGCAACAAGAACTCTGAAAACGAAATATACTTATAAAGAAAACTTGAAAACTTACAGTGGTCCCGGCGGGGCTCGAACCCGCGACCTTCGGCTCATAAGACCAACGCTCTAACCAACTGAGCTACGGGACCAATTTGCGATGTTTTGATGCAACTAATTATTTAAACAAGAAGAGAAATGAGTCATTAAGTAAAAAGCCATGCCACCCGCTCTCCGCATACGATTTATAAATATTAACTTTACCGTACTAACGTGTTATTATATATATGGCTTTTTTATTTTTATTTATTTATTTATTTTTCAAACTAGTTTTTAAAGGAAAATAGAAGATATATATTGGTTGTTTTTTTTAAGCTCCATAAGAAAGATTTACATAGACGTAGCGGGTAAACGAGTAACAAGCTATGCTACAACCCTGTCAAAATTAATTTTAAAAAAAATAACATTTATAGATCTAGGGGTTATAACATTATCATGACCCGTTGGATTCTATTGAGTAGCTCCACAATTTCTGGCGCAAGAAAACCAAAAGTATCAAATGCAAATGATATAAACGTGTGTTGATTTTCCATGCACGCTTTCTCTTATTTTGTCATTTTGTTTGATGCAACTTTCAGAGTGAAAACTCAACTCCCCAAACCTACAAGAAAGTAAAAACATCACCATTTTGTTTCAATATATTGAAAAAAAAGACAAATGGTCGAATCGATTTGCAATAAACAAGCTTTATATATATGACCACTTTCCAGCAAATAACCATCAACTTCAAATAGCATATAATGAGATCATTAATTGCAAAGTGGAGTCGTTGATGTGTTCATAATAAATATTAACTAAACTCGATTTTTAATAAGTGGCAAGAAAAGATTGAACCGATGGAGCTTATGGTTGGCAAATAGTTTGTAACTATTTAAAGACTAAAAACAAATTGATTATTTGAAAACAATACGTAAACTCAAGCCGAAAGAGAGTTTAATTAATTTTTATACAAAGAAGATCTTGCGATTTCAATTCTAAATCCAATTATATAATAAAATAAATTTCATGTTCTCTTAGGAAAAATATTTTTATCTCATTGGTGGATTTTTTTTTCAATGTCCTTTCCATGTGATGTTATAAGCAGAACCACCGTTTCCCCGACTCGGTAGGCCAATTACATTACGATTGGTGTCATCGCGTCTTTCAAAAATCACCGCTTCTCTTAGCTTCTAATTAAATCCTAAATGTAGTGGTGTTGATTATAATGACTTGTGCGGAATAAGAAATTATCTAGTTAATCATCATACAAATCATGAACACTTGGAGTAAATAAATCTTTTAAGCTCTCATTAGTTGAATTAGAAAGAGTACAAATGAGTTTGCTAGTTTCTCTCTCCAAAACTAATGCTCTCAAAATGATTCTTAATTGTTAGGGCCAGGATCCTCGAAATATTCATAATCCTTAGCTACCTCAGAATCCCGATTATCACTGTCATTATTTTTATTAATAACTATAACGATCATTTTTTTTTGTCTGTAACTAACACGTGTGCATAAGTAGTCAATGGAAGACCAATTCTCAATGAAGAATCATTCAAAATATGCTAAAGATCCAAAATATTTGGTCAAATAACGTTTGTGAAGCTGGTCATAGAGGATCCCAGAAATATCGGACATCTGTTGGCTAGTTTAGACTATAAATTGACACTTGCATTCTGCAAACAACACACTGTTTTTTACTAGGACCTTACTCTGCGAGATTAATCACTTGTTCATACTCAAATATTCTTTGTAAACATCTTTTTACATTAATAAAATCATCAAGGCATGTGATCATTATCATCTCCCAAGGTTTTGTGTCGGAGATCCTAGCAAGGATCGAGGGCTTTCCTTGTAAACCATTGTGTCACTTTCTTTTATTATTTGCTATTACACAATCTGAACATCACAAGCTCTCATTCGATTTGGTTGATTAGTACTTGTGTAATTTTGACCAAAACAATTTGGCGCCCATCGAGGGGCCGTGGTGTTGAAAATTCTTATAAAAATCATGTCTACATAACCGATCCTCTCTTCGTCCTCTGCCTCTTTGTAACAACGTAAATTTTCAAAACAATTTTTTCATTTCTTTAAAACATAATTTCGTTTAAGACAAACCATAGAATCCAATGTAACATGATCATAATACAAAACATGTCAAACCCAAGATCAAACATATCCAAATCCACATGTGTGTGTATGAGTCATGCCGACGCCTTCCCACGGTCCTCACTAGTACCTGAAACACATTACACATAAACACTGTAAGCAAAAAGCTTAGTGAGTTCCGTAATATACCACTTACACACATACGCCTTTCCAGGCCATACTCCACACGACCTTCTGGTCCATGTGTCTCAACGGACTTCCGTCCCAACCCGGTAAACCTTCAGGTCTTACCCGTATCGACCTTTCGGTCCATAACTCCCTGACCTTCTGGTCCACATCATAATGCCTTCCGGCCCATATCAAGCATAGCATACATACCGCATACATAGCGCATACGAAACAGGCAACTCATAGCATACAATGCATATATCTCATAGCATACCAGACCTTCCGGTCACATATAGGTACTCTTCCAGGTACAGTATAGTGAGAAGACTCACTTCGTATGATGTCTAGTATCTCACGTGCTCGATATCTCTGAATCTCGAAACAACGACCTAGCCTCGCCTAATCACAACAAATAATCATTCCAAATCATTAACGGCTCTCAAAGCTATACTACACCCCTTTCTACAATCCCACAGAAAGGTAAAAGACCATTTTACCCCTCCCTGACTCAAAAGTCCACATGTTGACCAAAACTGTGACATCCCCAAAATCACGGCCAGAAAAGACCGATTTTGTTTATGCTTTATAAAAATCAGAGTACTTCATTTTATAAAAAGGTTGCGGAATTTGTTCCCAGAAAAACATGGTAAATACGTTATTAAAACATTTTCGAAGAAACGTATTTATTTCATTTTAAAACGTTTGGGACGTCATCGTTAATACAGGAACATAAGCATAAACAGAACTTACAATTATTCACACTAGTGGTCTACATCTCTTTAAATCTCTCAGTGTAATGTCACTTCATATCAACACCTGTGATATAAATAAACTGA